CTCCTCTAACACGGCGTGTTTATGTGTATATGTAAAGTATTTGCCAGTGTACACGATAGAAATATGGAATGATAATATCCTCATCACCTGGAAAGCAATGATGTCCTCATCTTTCGACACTAGGATCACGAAATTCATCGCCTTCAATGAGGCCACATTCATCTGGAGTACTCAGAGAGGGCCTAGATTTGATACGATGTGGTCGCCCCGCAATAACTTCTGCAACTTTGTTTTACTTCTCAGCGTCCCAACGATAATAAGAGAAGCGATGCAAAAGGAAGAAGAAAATAATTTCTTCTTTTTGGACACACTCCTTCAGGAGTTTATCTTGTGCCCTTCCAGTACACCTGTCAAGCATACACTACAGTTCTACATGACGTAGAACAGTAGGAAGCGCTCGACATCCCCCAACGTAGAGGAAGTACTGAAACCTGACACCATGCTAAGGAGAATAACTACCCCAGGGGCTTTTTTTTTCTCTCTTCAGAAACTTGCTTCCATATTATAATTCGAAAAAAAGAAGAATAAGAGAAAAAAAACATTTCTTTACTTCTTTATGAAGAATAAAGAAATCATACTACAAAAAAAAAAAAAAATGCAAGGTGATTAGTGGTTTCAAGATACTAAAAGAAAAAAAGAATCATTTCCGCGAGCAAAATAAATTAAAGAAACAAAACAAATATAGTACTAATTCACCATCAAAGGCGATAACTACGTCAATGAAGAGAGGCCACCTCTACATGACGTTTTCCCTTGTTTGTTTCGTTATTTCTTCGTGAACCCTTTTCCCGTACTTTGTCATTCATACACACGCGTATATGTATACATATTTATGTTATTCTTTTCTTAAGATGCACCTCACTCATATGAAGGCCACTCCTATTTCACGGTGTCTTCTCTAAACCGGTGCGACACACAGACTGACTCTTTACGTCTCCCAGTTCTTCTCAACTACTTCGTGCCAAGTGTGAAGCCACGCACGTCTTCCAACGCAGCCTGTGCCTTTTTCAATGCCTCCATCATCGTTGTTGCAGCTTTACGCTGCGTTGCCACTTCAGGAGACTCTGCAAGCAAATCGTGAATGTTCTGATCGGTATACAGTTGTTTCACGAGTCTTGCGTACACTTCCTCCCGTAGTTTTGTAATCATAAGCAATGTAATGGCTTTGGGAACCTGGTCAGCGACAGTGCCCTTAACAATCGTGAAGTATCCCTCCACCATCTCTCGGATAGCATCGTTAATGTGCCGTTCGTGTAACGACATGTTGTTGCCCAACATAATCGTTGACGGCACATCCTCCATATTCTTTCTATCTCCATTACTCATAGCACTTTCAATAACACCTTTTTTATTCTTATCCCCTTTATCTTTTCCATCTGGACTCCCACGTCTTTGCTGCTGTTGTTGTTGCTGCTGCTGTTGTTGCTGTGGGTCTTTCTTTTCTGGATCCGATCCAAATATTTTTATGAAAGCCCGCTGTGCAAGTTCCTCCATCATTGGATGTTTCACATTGATGAAACCACGTTCAGCAGCTATGATTGTTCGAACATGGGCCGTAGTCGGAACACGATACTCCAGCAGTGACTTCTGACAGATCTCCACAACGGCCTGTTTCAACTTTGGAAAGCGATCCAGTCTGGTTGCACAGAGTTCCACAATCTTGATAAGCTCCTCATATACAAATTGGACACATTTTTGCGAAGGATCTTCCAAACGGGTAATCTGTTGCTTTGAAAGCGCAACAAATACATGATCGGATGGGAATAATGTAGCATGCATACCCGCCATGTTACGTGTGTTAATTCGGATGTACTCATCTGTCAAATCTTTACGAGCAGACAAACCATTAACGTAGGAGGCGAAACACTCATTAAATATGTAGTCAAGTCGGGCACCACCCAGCAACTCCTTTGTTGCATCAGTCACACCACCATCAATGGTATGGTTGAGATTGTCACTAAACAATTTAATAAGTGACAACATATTCGCTCCTGGATCTATGCTTTCGTGGTCAAGCATGCCGAGCTTCTCCATTTGTTTTCTGGTACTTTCCATCAGTTTATCCACGTGCGCCCTGAGATCTGGAATTACTGCCTTAATATGCTCGAGAAGGAGGTGATTCAATTTCTTCGCGAGATACTCTGTACCCTGTGTATCGGCAATAGCGCTGTACACAGGGTGATTGTGGAAAAACGCCCGCTCATCCTCTCGTGCCGCCTCCATTCCCTTCGAGTCGTTAATGTCCTGTTGACTGCGGTTCACCACACCCACAAAGCCGTGACGGAGGCCGATCACTTTGCCTGTGAGAACATCAAACGCATCTGTGCCACGGTCCATGAGATCCAGCTTTGTCAGTACACCCACTGTGCGAAGTCCCTCGGGGTCCAACTGCCGGGCGAGACGAAGCGAGGCGCTTGTTGCCAAATCAGTATTCGCAGGTGAGATGGCGAGAATAATAGTGTTGGCTGGTGACACGTAGCGAGTGACCATGTCTTTAATTTGGCGATCAATATCCTTTGGCTGGTCGCCCACTGCGTTCATCACCAACCCCGGCAAGTCAACGAGCGTCAGGTTAAGCACGTGTGGGGAAAAAACCTTTAGGTTAATGGGTCTGTCGGTGATGGCTGACTTGCCTGCAATCTCCACAGTGCGATTCTGAATCTCTTCATTTATTTCGGCGAAATTGTAATATTTCTTACCAGGCTTGTGAAGAAACTCACCCCATTCCTCCTTAGCCGATGCGGGTAGCTGAACCAGCTGCAGTACGAGTGGGCAGCGCGTCACAATCCCCGATCCACGAGGCAAAAAGTCCCTTCCCACAATAGCCTCAAGCACACTGCTCTTGCCAGAGCTCTGGCTTCCCACCACAGCAATCTGTGGCAAGTTGAGCTTAATATTCATTTTCACATTTGCGAAGGCATCGTGAAGCTCATTGACGACTGAGATGAGTTGATCCATCGTCTCAATATAACTGTTGGAGAGCAATAAAGGAAAAAAAAAGAGAGAAGAGAGAAAAGAAAGAAAAAGAAAATCCGCAACATACCTTCTGTTGGGTATTTTGACAGCACCACTACCACCCCTCACTCCCCTTCAGGTGCATACAGTGTAAGAGTGAGTGACTAATTGAGTAACCAAATAGGGAAATAACAATCGCATGCAAACGGAGTGTCATGGAGGCTTCAGCCAGACCCAACCACCACTGACACGAGGTAAAAAAAAAAAAAAACGAGAAACAAAGAAGCAAAACCTAGTGGTTTAGGTTATAGGGAGAAAGAGAAAGAGATCTCTGGAGTAAAGGGAAAAAAAGATGGAAGTCTCCATATATTTTTTCATAAGTAAAGAAAATATATTCAAAAATGTAATGGAGAGCAAAGCATCATCTTATCATTCTACTATCTCTTCATCTTCTTTCTCACTACAGTGGCCATACAAGCGTTGACGCTTCTTCTTCGCTTCTTGTATTTCTTGTAGTATATGAGGCGCGTATGGCACTCTGATTTTGAGTGTTCCTGTTACCGCAGCACGCTGTACAACTGCTGAGGAAGGAGCAATCTGACGCTGTAGTGGGACCTGAATGAGTTTACCTTTCACCATAACGCGAATGTAGTCCACCTCCACCTGTACGTCAATAAGTGTGGTAGAGAGGAACTTTGGTATGTCCACTGTGAGTATAATTGACTCTTCGTCACTGTGTTCGTCCAGCACGAAGGGAAGCTTAGGCTCATTCCGAAGCAGCAGTCTTCCGTACTTGGCAATTTCCTCCTCTACTGTAAGGCGTTGAGATTTCTTGTTCATCTCCGCATGGAGTGCTCCTATACTACCCGGTTCCGGTTCTTTCTTTTTAGCCCGTTCCTCCTCCTCCTTCTCCCGCAGCATTTGCAGACGGTCTTCTGGTGTATGGCCGTACAACCGTTCACCCTTTTCATTGTACCGTGGTGGACAGACATCAATCCCCTGTGCAATCATCTCTGCTTTAATACGCTCCGCTTCCCGTACCCGTAATGCCTCTTCATCCACAACTGTTGTGACTTCACTACTGCATTGCCGTGCCTCTAGACGCTCAGAGCGTACTACTTCCTCACCATCAAGTTCACGGAGTTGAGGAAGTGTGTGAATGATGTAGGCGCGATAACCAGATATTTTGGTGCATGGATTACCTGTTAAATGCAGCTGTTCTAAAAATGCATTTGCTTGCAATCGTTGTACACATGTTATATCTGATACAAAATTAAGTGTGAGATCTAAACGTTCAAGAGATTCACATCCCTCAAGACCCTCAATAGTTGTGATGTTGTTAACTGCCAGATTCAAGTACTTGAGAGACTTAAGGTGATGCAACCCTTCAATTCGTGAAATGTAGTTATTGCAGAGGTAAAGAATTTCCAACTCACGGCAGACATCGCCTATCACCTCAATCTTTTCTATGTCTTGCTGGTGAAGAGCGATTTCTTTCAAATTGCTTAGACATCCCTCATTATGCTCTGCACGGCGACGCAGTAGATCAACTGTTATACGTCCCATCGATTAAGTACACTATTATACAGAGGAAAAGAAATTTAACTGTGAGCAATTTCCTTCCGTTTATCTTCTCTTGTTATTTCGTTGTTCTCTATAATAAATACAGATTGTATATTTATTTATGCGACTTCTGATGTTATAAATCTATTTTTTTTTTTTTTTTTGCGTTTCTCGTGAAAAGATGGATGACAATAAATTTAAAAGGAAGAAGAGGAATCTTTCTAAAGAATGTACATTATATTCCATCACAGGCAAATTAAAAAGAAAGTTAGAAACAAAATCAAAGGATTCAGCAACATACAGAAACGAACACATACAAACACATAAAGAGAGTTATAAATATAAGTACAAATGTAAGTAAGATGATACTGATAGTGATAAAGCAACCGTTGGAACTACGAAACCCCCACTTTACCACAAAAAAAAAAAAAAAGAAAGATCCAGAAAACACATCAACTTGTCGATGATGATGATGATGCTTGAGGGTGACCAAAGGCCATTTCCACAGCCTTTCGGGCCTCGTCAAACCGCTTCTCATCACCTGCAAGTATGGCATCATCCAATGCCTTTGCATGCATTAACAGCGGTGCATCTTCAGATGTAATGTGATCACGGTAATCGTACACACCTGCCCGCACAAGTCCTCTTCCCGCCACGGAGGCCCGCAGCACCGTAAGGAATGCATCCATTAACACCTCGTAGAATGGCGAGGATAATGAACGACGTGTTAACAGCATATGGAGCCCCGAGACAGTCGCATCTAGTGACTCGTGTGAGTTGCCTGGAAAAACAGCACGAATGGCATCACGGTGTCGAAAGTAGTAATTAAGGCGCCTTCCAAAGACAAACTCTCGGGAAGCGTGATTAGTACAGGCCATGGCGAGAGTTGTCACAGCGGATGCTGGCAGTGGGGTTCCTTGTAAACGGTTTAGTACTTGATTAACAAGTTGCTCGGTAGAGCTAATAGAGTGTTGCATGTAGGACATCATCGCAGAGACACTAGCAGGAAACTCACTACTCACCATCCCAGCTCCCATGCCACAGAGTGGAACACATGCATTCACGATAGAAAGAACATCTGCTGCTCCTGGCTCTGTTAACCATGTAATACTCTCTCGTCGCCAGAGACGTTCTGTGAGGTGTTGCACAGTCTCCAGTGCATCTTTTGTTGTCCCATCCGGCATAGCAAAGGTGAGTGATACACCGTTGTTATCATTCTTACTGATTGTATTAGTAGTAGTATTGATACCACTATCACTATCAATAGAACTAGGCGTAGATACCTCAGCCCACTCCTTCGCAAAGAGAGGTCCCGAGACAACAACTAACTTTGACATCTGAAGTTTCACAGCGTGATTGAGGTGCTCAAGTGGTGTTAAGCCATTTCGAGAAAGACCACGAGTAAACACAAATGTAGGTACATCATGATTTTTTTTTAAACACTCAAGTATAGGAATTTTAGATGTTGATAATGATACATCACCCTCTTCTTCTCCCAAAGATGTTACCGGTACACAGAGGAACGAAGCATCACCACGTATATCATTATTATCAATCCTCTTACTATCTAAGTGATGGAATGAGAGATTTGATGGAACAGAGATACGCCTATCAAAGGTTTGGAACATTCGTGATCCGTACTGCAATTCGTGTAGGTATTCCTTATCCCGAGCAAGCATAGTGACCATTGGGGTATCCATACTATTCGCTAAGAGCGACAGGGTACATGCTGTAGCCGTTTCTCCTGAGCCAAGAACCAGAAGCCTAGATCTCATGGACATTTGTATATATTTCCGTTCCTTTTTCTTTTAATTAGTTTTTTTTTTTTTTTTTGTCACCCTCTCGAACCTTGTCTCTTTTAGAAAGAGGAGATAATTACATTTAAAGGCAGAATACGATAAAAAAAAAAAAAAAAGCAATAACAAAGCGAGAAACAAAAACCAAAAAGTGATACTCCCATCAAGACATAGGAAAATCTTCTCAGTACCTGATGGAAACATTGGTTATTTAAACCAGCTCCAGACGCACCTATGTACCAACTCTCTTCCACTAAATATAAAAACATATATTGCTTGTGACTTACGCTCCTATTTTTTTATTTTTATTTCATGAGTTATTTGATACCACCACATTCCCCTACCGTTTCTTTTTTTTTTTTTCACGTCTGTGTTTGCCACGCTCCTCATTTTTTTTTTTTAGTTTCCCTCACTTTACGCTAAGATAAAAAAAAAAAACACATAAAACATCCCACAACATACCTCCATAACACTCATGACTCTCTCTCTCTCTCTTTTTTTTTTTTTCACATACACACATAGTGATAAAGAGAGAAAGAGAAAGCATGGTCTTTTTTTTTTTTATTTTTTTATTTTTTATTATTATCGTGGAAAAAAGATATAACTCAACTTTGGTCCACCACCCCACTTTGACAACATCCAGCTGCGCAGACGAATACCTTCCACTGCGCGTCGAACTGCCAAACGTGCGTGTGGAAGCGGATGTTCGTGAAAGAATGTCTCGAAGTCTCGCGCCTGCTCTTCTCCCACGAGTGTCGATCCAACATGTTCCACAATATTTTGAATGCGAAACGTTCCACCACCCCACTGACGATCCACTCCATCAAAATGGCGTTTAAACATCGACCAAACATGTCCACGCGGTAATGATGGATTAGACGACAAGGAGGCAAATAATATACCACCATATTGGGAACGGATTCCATTATCATATATACACCGCTTGAGGATACTTTCTACAAACTCAGGATCCTCTGCCCAGCAGAGAGCAGACAAAATTGAACGACAAACTTCATCATTATCATGTATATTTGTGTAATGTTTCCATAGAGCATCCGTTCGTGAAGCTGCATCATCAGGACCAAGACGTACATAAGAAGAGAGAGACATGGTAATTGTATCTGCGGAGTATTCTGCCCCTTTTAAGAAGGCACTTGCTTGTTTTAATGCCCATTCTACTGATGGAACCTTACATGCATCTTTTGTAGGTAAACATTTTAAAGCTGTTGAGATAGCTGCATTGATAAAAAAAGCACGTCTCATCCGTTCCTCTGCTGTACTTGGATTCTCATTTAAAAGTTTTGTAGCCATCTCCCCAATGGTATACATGAGATTAAAATTTAATTCCTTATGCAAACCTTCATCTTCCAAGAAACCAATAAAATTCTCCATGCTGTTTCTATACTCTTGCCAGATACTTCGATCAGATTCATGTTCAGATAAAAGAGAACGAAATATAGCCAAACGCTCTACATCTTCATAACCCATGTAAATTGAAGCCACTGTATCAGCAATTAAAGCACGACGATCAGGGATAGAAAGGGAACTGTATACGTTTAATAAACTTGAAAATCCTTCTTCATCATACCGACAACGAAAAAAACCTTTTCCACCAGGATTAGCATTAATCCATGGAGAATTAGCGAGTTCCACTGGAAGTTCTACCTGTTGAGGTTCAGAACCAATAAGAGTCACTCGATGAGTTACTCCATTTGCTCCTTCAAGTACAATAGGCACACTCCATACTGTATTTCTTTTTGTTGTTGCTGACACAAATTGAGAAGTTTCTTGACGCAAAATAATTAAATTGGGTGAAGGACGATTAACATGAATGATAGGATATCCCATTTGTGTTGTAAATGAATTCATAGACTCTGTTAAAGGAACACCAGATGCCTCTTCTAGTGCCTGCCATAAATGAATAGTCTTTGTATCTCCATAACGATGTTTTTTAATATAATGGGCTACAGAAGATGCCCATTTCTTTTCTCCGAGAAAAGCTTCTAACATAAAAACCAATCCCATACCTTTATCATAACTAATAGCATCAAATATTTGTGTAATCTCTGCAGGATCACAAATTGGAACTTCAACGGGATGACTATTCTCATACATATCACTTACAAGAGCGGATGCAACTTCCATAGATGCATCTTCATTACATTTCCAGGAAGGTTCAAAGTGGTGTGCCGCTTTATATCCACACCAAGAGGCAAATCCTTCTTTTAACCATAATCCTTCCCACCAATTTATAGCCACTAAATTTCCAAACCAATTATGTGAAACTTCATGGCAAATAAGTTCAGTCACACGTTTTAGAGTATTTACACCAGTTTTTTCTTGCTCTAAAAGAATGGATTCTACACATGCAATACATCCCCAATTTTCCATTCCACCAATAGGAAAGTCAGGTACAGCCACAACATCCAATTTAGGCAATGGATACTTGCAGTCAAAAAATTTTTCAAAATATTCCAATGCAAATGCAGTTACTTTGAGAGCAAAAGCAGCTTTTTGAACTTTACCAAGAGATGTATACACTTTTACTGGAATACCACAAGCAGTCGTCTCTACATACTCTAATTCTCCTACAAAACAAGAGGTAAGGTATGGTGGAACTGCAGGAATAGTATCAAAGTGATGTGTTACCGTATTATCATGTTGCTCTTTTAATTTTAGTGGACCATTTGACAATACTGTATATCCCTCCATACTAGAAGGTAGGGAAACATGCAATGTAAAATCTGCTCGTGCAGCTGGTTCATCTTGGCATATGTAAAAGTGTCGTGCTGAAGTAGGTTCAAAATGTGTGGCTGCCATGCGGTGTTCAACCCCATCATTGGTCTTAAACCGTGCACGATAAAAACCATTCATCTCTGTCCGAATTTCCTGAGAAAATGTAAATTGTATAGTATGAGTATTCATAGTTTCCCCATCCAGTTGAAGCTGTAGTGTTCCAGCCTTCTCATCACGACCCAGAATGGTTGCTCCGGTTACTGTTTGAATAGTCATAGATGAACTGTAGTGCAATTTTATCAAATTAGATGGTGGAATATGCGCTGCCTGCTGCAATACAATCGTCTCTGTTCCCTCATACTTCCAGTTTGAAAGATCCACACGCACATGTAAATCATACGACTTTGGTGTGAAGTAATTGTGCAATTTCACAGATGTAGCAGTATCTGTAGCTGTCATTCCTTTCTTTTTTATATATATATAGTGTTTGTGTAATATGTATGTTTTGCAGTTCTCTGATTGTGGTAATATATCCTTTTCTCATAAACAAAAAAAAAACAAAGAAAAGAAGAAAATAATAATCATAATAGTAATAATAATAATCATCATTATCATTATCATCATAGCACGCAATCAAGAGAAAAAAAAAAAAAGAAAATAACAACATGTATTTTATGTCATGACGCATTCACTCCTTTCCACTTGAACTCCCACTATAGTCGTACAACATGTAAAAAAAAAAAAAAATAATAATAATAATAAGAGAGATAGAATTGCTTCTTGATTTGTGGTTAAACTTGTAAACCAAGCAGATGAGCCACATCATGACTCGACATTTCTCTGCGGATGTTCGTTTAGCTCGATCACCCAGTATCATTTCTTTTTCTTTTTTTTTTTTCCTTTTGAAACAGCAAGAAGATTACTAACGCAAGCACAACTACAAACACTAATATAAATAGAGAGATACTTCATTTATCTACTGTTGATAGTGCTGCTTTCAGTGTACATAACAAGTTGCTCTGATAATAGACGAATTTGTTCTTCCAGTGCCTCACGCATACGTTCCGCATCATCTGTCTTTTGTCGATTGAGATATTCCAGTCGTTGTACCTCCTGTTGGGCGTTTATCAACGCCTCCTGTTTCTCAGCTAACTCTAGTAATGTTAAGTTCATTTGTGTGTGAAAGCAAATGGCAGCACGATCTGCTGCCGCCAGTGTGTCCACAAGCTCCTTATTATCTGCTGAGCCAAGTCCTTCAGAAGCGAAAATTTCTACAGGTGATAGTATCACCGCTCGTTCCTGTGATGAGACTTCTTTTAGTTTATCCTTCTTCGTATGCGTTGTAAGTGATCCAAGTGACTTACAAATAAATTGCAAAGCAGTTCGAATAGGATCGCTAGTAATAGTTGTTAATAAGTCTTGTACAAGTTGTGTAAATGTGGCTATTGCCTGCTGTAGGGATGTAGAGGCACTACATCCTTCCCACCAAAAACGCTCTAGTGCGAGTAACCACTCCGCTGAGTCACATCTCTCTCGTCTCAACAATTCATGTGAGTCACTACAGAGTTGATTCACTGCTGTAAGAGATCCACGAATAGATGCAACTGCGTAAATAGCAGCACTTATAGTAGATTCAATAAAAGTCTGTTTGTGATTTATCACATCATTATTTTCATTATTGCTACTGTTGCTAGTAATATTATTTCCAGTGGAAACAGAAGCGTCCACAAGAAGTCGAATATGCTCACACATTAGTACTAACCACTCATCCAGACTTGAAAATAGAATAGTCTGTGTTTGCAGCATATGCATTAACTTTTCGTCAGGTGTTACTGAAGCCGTAAATGAATCCTCCATTTGTTTTACATGAAAGAGAAGTGTTGCTTTCTTTGTACCATGTGCTTCCAATAATGCACTTAAACGATCCCGATAGCAACGAATATCACTAAGTGTAGCTCCCTTTACATGAGGACCAAAGGAATCCCGAAGAGAAGCCACTAGAACAGAAACACCACTCATCAATGTACGAAGAAAACTACTAACATTGTTTAGTGTACCTATTGCAAGTTCCTCACGAATTTCTTGTGGTGGTACCCCTCCTCGGTTTCTCATTAAATAAGGAGAGATAACAACACAAAGTCGTTTTTCTTCCTCTTGTCCTTTTCCTTTTTCTTCTTCTTTTTGTTTTTTACGTTGTTTATCAATATCCCAAGCCAAAACAAAGAAATGGTGGCAAAATTGTGCCATTGCTGCTTGTCTAGTACACTCTACACTCCAATGATCACATGCGTGCGCCGTAGAATCAAGAAGACTTCGCAGTTCCGCTACCTCTGCCTGAAACACAGATAGTTCAGAGGTGAGACGTTCATTTTCTGTCATCCACTTTCGTTGTTCATCCTCATACTTCGTCTTAAGATCAAACAACTGCATATGAATGTGCTCATTTTCTGATATTATTTTCTCTTGATCTTCTGCAGATAAATTCATGGGAATTGCAGTGCTTTTTGAACCCTTTGCTCCAGAACTAGAAGACTGACTTTCACCATCAGCACCAGTCACAAAGGAAGAAATCCCTTTCCACGTTGTCTTTACAGAAGCACCAAAGTGTCCACGCTTTCGTTCAGTTTCTAATTCCGCTTCCACTTTCTTAAGTTTACGTGTAAGTGTCTTATTTTCTTCCTGTACATGCGAAAGTTCTTCACCAATAGCAACCATCTGATCCTGTAACTGTTTGTTGTGAACCTCGAGGAGTTGTTTTTGCTTCGTCACACTTACAACAGCTTTCTTTAATAACGATATTTTTGTTTCGGCATCGCCGTGTGCCATAAGCTCTGCCACCTCTTCTTTACTCGACATACCTTGAAGAAGATTCAAATCCCTAAAGCTTCCAGATAAATATATATATATATATATATTGAGCAAAAAAAGAAAAAAAAAAAAAAAATAGTTCCTCACTCTTTAAAAAAAAAAAAAAAGAATTAAAAAGAAAGAGAATTGCAGTATTACTAGGAAGTATTTGAATCAGGAAGATCGACAAAAAAAAAAAAAAAAATGGGGGTGTCTTAAAAGAAACCAAACATACAGACAAGTAATAATAATAAAAATAAAAAAAACGTAGAACAATTCAATACGTGAATATACACACAATAGGGTAAAGGATAAGATGTAGTCAGATGGAATAATAAATACTTACTCTACTATTAAATTCCAAGTCATATATTAGAACTAAGTGATAGTTCCTCATCCCAGCAGTGAGTATGACAGAGTTGCATCATACAAAGAAAGAGAGAGGGGTGAGTTTATCCCATTGACTCCTTATCACCCTCACTTACACCATCTCCATCTCATCTACAATTCCTCAACAATACAAAGGGTCATTTCTTCTCCCTTATACGTTTTTCTTCTTTTCTTTTTTTGGTTCTTTCGTTCTCCTGTTTTATTTTTATGTTTTTTTTTTCTTTTTTTTTTTTGTGTGTGTGCTCTGCTTCTCTTTCAATTTTGCGTATGTCTCTTCTTTCTTGCCTTTAAGCGAGTAAAACTGCGTCAGACCAATCGCACGCGTCCCTCCAGCACGTATGGTCTGAAAGAGCGGTATGGCACTAGAAATATTTCACCTGCGTGTACTGTTTGCACAGCGTCATCGCCTAGTCGCACAACACCGAGGTCATCTAACACAACACAAAAGACATAGCGGTCAACATCCGGGCGCGGGAGTACTTCGTCACCCTCAGCAAATGGAGGATGCGGCACGAGATGTTGCAACTCTGGCGGTGCCGCCTGCAGTCCGGCGAGTTTCGCGCATCGCCCCGCCAACTCTGCGAGACGATCAGCGACGATCACTTCGTTGTGTGACAAGAGTGAACGGAGTTGTGTAGGAGCGGCAATACCGGCCTGCGCCTCATACGCGATGGCGGGTGCGAGGGCTTCAATCTTGCGTAGACGTTGGCGCAGCAACTCAGCGAGAAAGAACTGTGCCCGCTGCACCTCAAGTGCCATAAGATCTGATGGTCGGAATGGCAGTAGTGACGAACTGCGTGCCTCCTCCGCATTTGCGTTGCGAATCTGCGCGTTCTGTGCTGCAATCTGAGCAGCGACACCGTCCACGATGGCGGCCGGGTATGGAAGAATGTCCGGCGCGGCTCTTTCGTTCTCTGCGGCTTGTATGAGAGCTGCGAGGAGAGTGCCGGTGCCGTGTTGACTGCTGGCGGTGGCGGTGTCGTGGCTGTGGCGGGGGTCCGCTGCGGAGACGCCGCCGTCGGGGCTGTTCTCGCGGCTGAGGGCCTCGTCGAGGTGATCCTCAAAGAACATCTTTCGCCCCACAGGAGTTAGAAGGAAAGAGAGAAGGAATAATAAAAACAGATACAGGGGCAGGAATAGGTCCCACCAAGCAATATATATATATATATATATATATATATATATAGAGAGAGAGAGAGAGAGAGAGAGAGGGAATACAACTGACCTAAAGTTTAATAATAACAATAATAATAATAATAACTCTGCGCATCAACCAAGAGTTAACGTGCACCGGTAGCGTCAACGTTGAGTCGAGGGAACCCAAAAGATCAAAAAAAAAAAAAAAAAAAAAAAAAAAACGACTACAGAGCAAAAAAAAAAAAGAAAAAATGAAAGAAAAAAATAATACAAGAGTACATCAGGAAATCTCAAATAACAATACATTCCTCATGTGGTTCAGTGAGTGGCAGCACACGTGGACGTGAGGGTCGCACGGCCATGGAGCGGTGATCTCGTGCTGTTTCATATGTCTTTGTTTGAATATCATCCACACGGGAAATAACTTTTTCAGGAGTCACTTTTAACTCTGGTATCCTCTTCTCGCGATACCCAGAGTCTTCGTGTAGGTTTCTCTCACCAACACTACACACATCTCCCACTTTACTTGCTGCGTCCCTGTTATTGAAGCCCTTTTGATATGTTAGGGAACTATTCATGTTAACCCACTCGTGTAACGTTAATGCGTTTGCCATCAATTTTCGTAGCCATTGCATGCGCACACTATCTTGGCAGCTCCCCATAACATCATCTAGAGATAACTCCAGAATCTTTTTAAAATGAATATTTTCTTCCTCTGCAATAGAACAGCGTGCAGTGTACTCCAATTTAAGTAGATCAGTTTTATCTTTATCACATTGTTCAAGAAACATATAATGCCAACGTATAGCTTCTATGTATAGCTTCGAATAAGCTGCTTCTATTTTCCCACGACGCCTTCTCTCTTCTGATTCTACACTCTGTAACCCAGTAAGAATTTCTTTTAATTTTTCTTTATTATGATGATGAGATTCCTTTGTACAAGGAATTTTTCTTCCCATAGGGATATTACTCGTAGATGGTAATGAATAAGACGATGATAATTTCTTCTTTCCTGAAGATTGACGAAGTATTCTTTCAGAACTGCTTCTCTCCCAACGTATTACATCTCTAAATTCATTTGGAGGAAATAAAGCAGAAGAACTACGAAGAATATCACTACTCCATGGACTGCGATCAATAACCCAAGCAAGTTCTGAGAGGTTTGATTGTGTATATAATTGGCGCCCCAGTGATGGGGATGGTTGATGCCGCGATATACGAGATCCAAGATCACTTTTTCTCCCTTCAGGAGGTATAATAACAGTTGTAGTAGGACCATGATAATCGCTAATAAGAGAGTTTGGACTTTTTTCATACGGTTCCCCTCCTGCTAATCTTGACTCTAATGAATGATGAGGTGTACTGGTATCATGTGGAAGATGGTAGTAGACGAATCGAGCTTCCGCATCTAATGGCTGCGATAATGGTCTTTGACTGCGTTGAATATACGCGTGAAGAGTAGCAGCATCACCCGTCTTCACAATCCGCCTAAGTTCCTCCTCGTTCATAACTACTAAGGAGCTACGGATGCAGAGTCGTGGAAACCACCCCACACAGTGACGTCTGCACGCTTGAGAAGCATCAAAGAGTAAAAAGAAAAAAAAAAAAAAAAGTGACGGGAAGTTTAAAGTGGCATGGTATTTGCAGTATTATTATTAGAACTACTACAATTGGTTTAAATACAAACGTCAACCAAAACAGTAATTATTAGATTAATAAAACTCAACATGAGCATAATCATAGTAGTAAAAAGTGGTACTGATAGCATAAAATGGTCCAAGATAATAATAGGAAAAAAAAAAAAAAAACACAAAAGGAGATTTTGCAACGTAAAACTCTTTATATTTTATTGTTATTATTTCTTCTTTTTTTCCCTTCGCGTACATCTTTGATGTCCCGAAATATCCCTTACTTTTTTTTCCTTTTCATCAAAGCGATCGAAATATTTTTTCGTGGGTATGGGGTGTTAATTCTCACCTGCAAAGATAACGTGGACGATATACCAATCGCTGTATTTATTTAACAAGAAAAAAAAAAAAAAACCTAACCTTTTTCTTTGCTTTTTGAGACCACTTCATTCTTTTTTCAGCTTCTCTCTCCCTTTTGCTATAACTACTAATTCATATAAATATATATATTTTTTACGATACAATGCCACACTTATTAATTGGTGCAATGTAATGTTCTTCCTTTCTTCGTTCTAAGATCTCATCCAGTTTTGCCTGCATAACGACCCGCAGTCCAGTTGACACCTCTGCTGCCGTCGCATTCTTTTCATATTCATACTTACCCGCGTAAAAAAAGACATCACCAGGAAACCCTGGAATGCCCTTCACATCTGGGTTCCACACCTCATGGCAACCAAAGTACACGATATAGTAAATAGGCACCTGGTGCTTTAAAACCATATTGAAGGTGCCATGGCGGAATTCCTTCAGTACTTTTGGTGTGTGGTTGACGGCACCCTCTGGAAAGAAGCAGAGCATACCACCCCGTGAGAGAAATGTCTCTGCCTCTTCTGTTACCGCCGCCTGCTTTGTCTTGTCCACAGAGAAGGTAGAGGCCTCCGTCGAAGTAAAGTATACCGGAAAATGTCCACATGCTCTAATAACGCGTCCCATTAATGGCAACCGCCAAAGCGAACTCTTCGCAAACGACTTCACGTTATGCATAAATCGCAGTGGAAAGAGCCAGAGGAAGAAAAACATATCAAAGAAGGAAGTGTGGCAGGCGCAGAAAACGCCACGGTTGTCGATACCGCGCAGGTCAAGTGATCCCGGCATGACGCGAACGCGTATCTGCGGTGAGAGGAATCGCAATGTCTTACCGAGCAGCAGTCCACTGACGGTGCAGGCGATTTCTTCAGTGTGGCGGCGTGCGATCCACCCGTGTTTGGCGGCCAAATTGAGTGGAACACATATGGCGCTGCAAATCAGAACGAGGAGTCCAACGCAGAGAGTGAACCACAACCGTGCGAGAAAGACCGGTCGACGAACGTACAGAAAACCGAGGAAAGGAAGAAGAAGAAAGAAGAAAAAGAATAGACACATCTGGCAAGGTGATGGTGGGCAGAGGTGTTTCTATCTCTCTCTCTCTCTCTCTCTCTCTCTCTCTATATATATATATATATATATATTTATTTATTTATTTCTGTAGAGAGCAAGGATGGCTATGGTAGTAGAGAAAAAGAACAAGAGAAAGGAAATAAGAAGAGAAAAAAAGGAAGTACAAAAGAAAAAAAAAGAGAGAAAGAGGATGAAAAAATATATACAAAAAAACTCAAAATACCAAAAAAAAAGGTAAAAAAAAAGGATGAAAGAACAAAATGCACCCAGGCTGGGAGAGTACACGGGCATACGTCGGTGTAATACCAGTATGACCAGTGAATACTAAAAGAGATAACAGGACAAAAAATCCAAAAAGAGGAAGAGGAATAAAAAAGAAGCTAACAGTTAATGACACATTGGATATGGTATTTCCCATTTTTTTCTTGATTATTTAGAATCAAGAATTTAAAAAGTCAGAACGCACACACAGAGCAGAAAAATAAAATAAAATAAAATAAAATAATAAATAAATAAATAAATATATAATAAGACGAATATATAATTTTTTTTTCTTATTGAAAGATGAAATTTGGGTAATAGTACAGCGGTGAGGTCCATTATTTGGCACACCAGTCACTTAGGGAATAAACAGATCTTTTGACCTTCTTGTTCAGAGTGCAATATCTGCTCCTTCTTTATTTACTTCTTACAGTCCTGTTACTAACAACTCATAAAAAAAAAATGACAACATAAATTTAATACCAGAGAAACATACAAGGACATATATGCAGAGATACATCCACGTATCTAATCACGCATATATAAATATATATCCCAATGTCAAACAAAAAAAAAGAACTTCACACACTGTTACCTCCACCACAACATACTATCTTTCGATTCGCTACCCCCTTCTACTTATTTTCCTCCCACAGTAAGGAAAAACCTCTCCTGTCACTCATATTCTCTTTTCTGATTTTATTTTCATTGTTTTTTTTGTTTGTTTTTCACTTTTTTAGGTGGTGCAATCCCGCAGTAAAGTAAATACCACACCAAAAAGAGATCATTGATAGGAAAGCATTCCATCTGGAAATTGATAGAAGAGAAGAAACAGACTTTTTTTTTTGCTAAACAGAAACTATTGTTACAAAAAAAGAAAAAAAAATCCTCATTCCGCTAGCCAACGGTACACAGAATTATTTGGGAAAATCCACTAGTTAATAGGAGCTCTGCAAACGTGATACGGTTCTACTACCGGTGAATACACCAATAAAAACAGACACATATATATATATATATATATATATATATATATATATATATATAAATAAATCAATTGCATCTTCGTACACATACATGTGCATACATTTTTTATCTACTCACTTCCTATCTTATTCACATTACACCTCTTTTTGAGGACCAGTATCCAACAGGCGTTGGGGGATTCGACAGGGTGGTGGCCGCCGTCTGGCCAGCGGTGGTACATTCATACGTGTGCTTCGACCACGCTCAAGTACGGATCCCATTGGAGATAAAAAATTCCGAACGCCTGAAATATCCGAACTGCGACCCTCCTTCGTATTAACTCCTTTGCTTTGTTCCACAGCGGCATTACATGAAGACCCATCCAAGTTTGACGGTTTGTTTGTTGATACATTTACCAATCCGGCATCAGGTGAGAAAACTGGAACCAAATGCTGAGGATCACGTAACGCCTGCTCCACGGGTGTTTCTCTTACCGGTTGGTATGTTTGCTCTACCGGTACTATATACGGTGTGTATGGTGCGGCGAAAGGCACTCCAACATCTGCAGTAAAAGGGAAAAAAGTATTACTTGGTGACAGCACTACTGCCTGTGGAATGTTAGCACGAAAAGGGGAAGGAGGAAGAGGAGGGATTAATGGTGAGGGCGGCTGGGGCTGTTGTATGCTACTTCCACATGGTGATTGAGTAAAGATAACAGGAAGTCCCATAGAAGCAGGAACTGTTTGAATTGCTGGTGGGGCATTTAAATACAGCGGCAGATACTGCTGTTGTCCGGGATTGCCAACGTACATGACGTAGGCCCCAGGATTAACGTTAGCTGCTGTGAATAACATTTAGAGAAAATGTTCTTCGCCTGTTTTTTTTTTTTTTATTGTTATATCTTGCTATTATTATTATATTATTTTTATTATTACTTTCCTACTTTTATACAATCCACAGGTTTTACAAAAGAAGAAAAAGTGAGAAACAGTCAAAATACTCATATCCAAGAAAACAAAGAACACTAAAAACATCACACTACGAAGAGAAAAAAAAAAAGGAAGCACCGCATTATCATGTTTACTATTGATATATATATATATATATATATATATTTAAAAGGGAATTTCTGAACCCTCTCTCCTTTTTTCCACAACCTACTCAAATATGGGACCCTCAACAGAAGACTGCATACCAAAAAAAGAAAAAATTTTATTCAAGCACACATACACACATCTATATGAGCAAACACATCTGTACATACAGTGACATTATTGTAGAAGAATTAGAAGATTAAAACAAGATTTACCTTCAAAAATACTGGTACTTTATATACCTCACCTTCTAATGGTTTTAATATTATTTATTATTATTATTATTATTATTATTATTATTATTATTATCTCTACTTATCACGTAGATGCATGGACATATAGATGTGGATGTGGATAATCTGAAAATGATATTAATACATAAACGTTGATTCTGTTTCAGACAGAGTAAGTGAATCACGAGAAATCCAGTGAAAAAAAAAAAAGAGATGACAAGAAAGAAAATAAAAATAAAAAAAACTGCCAAAGAGTCTAACTATTCCTGTATTTCAATCAACCCATATTTCTCATTCAGCACATCTCTTGTAAAAATAAACGGAAGCCATAGAGAATGGTGGGTGTCGTGATTCCGCCACCTTCTCATCATTAAAAAGAAGCCACTTCCCTGTTTCCTCATCTCTTATGTGACAAACATAATGTCCTGTCTTGGCACTTGCTCCCATGTGGCTTATCATCGCATGCAGTTTATACGTAGCTGGTCCATCATGTACACGTGCCGTTGTACTCTCTTGTTTCTCTGGTGTATTTGCAGCCCCAGAAGCTTGACTCATCTCCAGAGCAATATCTTCACGACTAAATACATAGTCAATGGCACGTTCAGCATTCATACCAGTTTGTAAAAGTGCATATCTGGCAATAGAATCTTCAATACCCATACTTAATAAAATAGCAAGTGCAGTTTCATCTATTGGCTTTGATAATGGAGATACTGGTTTATGTGGAAGACTTGTATCTGTAGAAGGCATTTCAACTTCATCTGCTTGAAGACCTTTGCTTCGGAGGTATTCAAAATTTATAGTTTCTGGTACATCAATAAAAACGTCAATTTTTTTCACTGACATAGTTTCCATATCAAAATGTACCCGACGAAGAAAAACAGGAAGTACATCAGGAAAAGTAGCCAATCGTGTAGTTTTAAAATAAGTCACTGCATTATCACAGGCACTGCAACGACATGAAATTTCTGTAGGTTGCATCATAGATGTAATACACGCCTCTAATGAACGGTGTGGACGACTTGCTTCAATCTCTTCTTCTGTAAGTTTTTGTTCCACATTAGGATTCGTTTCCACAGGATCTATTGGAATTGGAAGTGAAAGACAACAATCGGTTTCTCGTGTATAGCGAACTTTATGGCATGCACTACACTGTACACGATGTTCCACTGTCATTTTAAAAATATCAGCAGGATGAAAATCTTCTGAATCTTTACTATAAGGAGGTCTAACATAACGTCGCATTTGTTCAAGTAAATACAACATGTATTCCTGTGCATCCTGTTGTTCTGCAGAAGAGAAATCAGGATGTGTATGGGCAAAAACACGTTTAAACTCTCTAGCTGTAATACCATTATTTCGTTCATTATCTTTTTTAGAAAATTCTCCAGATAAAAGACCACTAGCGACACGTTCGGTTTGGCAAGTACGACAATTATATGGGTTTTCACGGCAAACATTCTGATGTAGTGTTTCACGATTGTGATAAAATGCCTCTCTGAAAGGTTCCAAGGCAAAAAGACACTGAACAACAGATGCCATGTAGCAACTGTTACCAAAATTATGCATTCCTGTTCTTCCTGGACCAAAAACAGAAACAAGAGATTCACCACTTTCTGTAATACGATTAAAATCAAACTGTGAGGAGTAATCATATTGCATTTCTCCAAGTGTTTTGGCTGTTTTCTTCGCAGTTTGAACATCTATACCAAAATGGTTCATGTGGGATTCAAAGTGAACATCCGATACCTCATCATCACAAATATAACAATAGAAATCCGCCCCGGATGGGGTAACGGTTCCAAGTTTCACCACTACAGGATGTTGAGTCTCAAAGTAGTGCTGTAAGGCATGCGCACTACCGCCCGCCTCCTTTCGTGGACATCCCACCGCCCCACACGTCATACACATCCAGTTATTTGTACGGCAATCACAATTCTCAAAACTGCATTTCTCCATAGCGGATGGTGGGGCGGTTTGAAATGGACTTGGTAACTGTTCTAAACAGATTAAATGTGGACATTGTGGACGCATATACCCGGTAACATCTGCATCCATGGCATCTTTAGCTCCCGTTGAAGTCGCATGCACAATAGATGAGTAACACTCAAGGGCAAAATCTGGTGGTGTTAAAAATGATTTTGCACATACACCACAACAAACGGCATTTTCATATTCCTTTGGAAGCACAACTCCAAGTTTGTTCACATCCTTTGTCTCCTCTGTGGCATCTTCTTCCTTTGGTGGAAGTTCTTTGATCCAAACAAACATGGCGTGAGTAGACTGTACGGAGATGTGTTTGCGAACATGTTCCACACAAAGACCCATATGACAAGACATGCAAACAAGAATTCCTCCTTCATGTCTGCATGTACGGCAACAGTAAGCGCATTCTTCCTTATGTATGGCGGATGTATGATGTGGAACCACCATAGCCGACTCATCCCAGCAATGCGGACATGATTCCTCGCTTATATCATAAGGTGGGGTCATTATTTTTTTTTCTTCTGTATTGCTTCACTTTGTTATCTATCTAAAACGTATTCCTATTCTTCTTTCATGTGTAGTTATAAGTGTGCAGTGGACATCAGTACAGAGCAGGGGGGTTAAACACACACAGAGGGATAAAAAAAAAACAGAGAGAAAGAAAGAAAGAAAGAGAGAGAAAGAGAAAAAAATGTTTTTTTTTTCTTTTTCTTTTTTTTTGAAAAGAGATAGAATTGTCGATATCCAGATAAAAAAAAAACATGAGGACACGTAATCTCCCAAATACTTCATAGAATCCCATCCGCAATTACGTCAAAGTAAATAAAAGCAACAAATAAAATGAAAACTGGGAAAGCACACACACAAACAGACACAGTCAGACTCATATAGAAATATGAAATAAATAGACAGACAAAATGATAAAAACAGAAAGAAAACATCCCAACAACTAAAAATAAAAATAAAATACTACTTTTTCTTTTCCCGAAAAATAAAAAAATCGTTGGCAACTTCTTTTTTTTTTTTTTTTTCTTCATTCATTCATTCCTCCCTCCCTCCAGTGTACCACAATTTTGCCTACTCATTACCCATTTCTCTCTTTATGCATTTTTAAAATTGGGTTTCCGCTTCTCCACAAACGCATGCATGCCTTCCTTCTGATCTGCCGTGGCAAATGTGGCTTCAAATGTTCGCTTCTCATATGCGAGACCCTCCGACAAAGTAGTCTCTAACGCCCTATTCACACAGTCCTTTGCTAACCCCACTGTTACCTGACTGTTCTGGGCAATTTTTTCTGCAATGGAGATTGCTGTTGGAAGAAGTTCCTCATGCTTTACAACACGTGAAACCAAACCAGCTTTTTCTGCCTCTTCAGCTGAGTATTGTTCGCCTGTTAAGACCCACTCCATAGCTTTACTTTTACCAATTAATCGTGTGAGACGTTGTGTACCTCCCAAACCAGGAATGGTCCCAACTTTAATTTCTGGCTGCCCGAAAATGGCCTTCTCACTGGCTACAATAATATCACAGGACATCGCCAACTCACATCCTCCGCCAAGGGCAAATCCGTTCACTGCAGCAATAATTGGTTTACGCGTGGTTGTGATTGCATAAACGCTCTTAAACATGTTATTTTTGTAAAAATCTACAAACCCTTGATTTGCCATCATCTTTATGTCAGCACCAGCAACAAATGCTCGACCCTCACCAGTAATAATCACAACAGAGACTGAAGGATCGGAATCACATTTTCTCAAATTATTTAAAAGTTCATCCGATAATTCAGCATTTATTGCATTTAGTTGTTTGGGACGATTCAGAGTTAGTGTCATTACAGCTCCTTTTTGTGCCGACTTGACAAGAGGCTCAGCGGCGTGGCGGAAGAATAAACTATACCGAAACATTTGTATTTGGAAATGTGATACCTCTACTTATTTTGAGAATCGGTAAAGGAAAAAAAAAAAAAAAAAACAACATAATAAGGGAGAAAAAAAAGGGATCTTTATATAGCAACATCTATCAGGTTATTTTATTTTTCCTCCTACTTCCAAACTCTTCTCGGTGTGTGATAAAGAATACAAGTACTTGAAATAACTCTATACCACATTATTTCCCTCACAAAGGGTATACAATGAAATAAATAGGATACAGTTTTATTAAACAAAAAAAGCTCAAAATTTCGTTCATTCCTTTATAGTAGCAATAAAAGTTAAGTATACTTCGTGTAGAAGAATGCAAGTGATGTATTATTATCAGTTTCCTTTTTCACTACTTGACCTGGACTAGCTCTTGACTTATTCTCTTTACAAAAAGTCATCAATCAAGATTCATGATAATCCTGCATATAATGAATTTCAAGTACAATAAACAATATTTGAACTTTTGAAAATTCAAGCTAAGATGCATCATAAGGTTTTTAGAAGCACCAGATTCATAAAGAAAAGGATATGGGACTACATCTTCATATTGATTTAATTTGTAAATAGCATATATAAAATAAAAAAGAAGGAATAACAATGGTACTATATCCATGACTTATTCATGTCATTTGTACATGTGTTTCCCATTACAAACACTACAACCAGAAACAACCTCCAAGTTCAGTACAAAAACTGCAGATGGACATGGGCCACCCCATTCAGTGATCCCCATACCTTCCGAAGATACCATAACCTTGGCAATGTAACATATGAACATCTTTATTCCAGTGAAATAAAATGCAAGGACATAGTACTTCGTGCAGTACATTCTGAACCTTTCGTTTTTTTTTATTATTATTGATAGGGCACAAGAATGAGTTCTGCATTCATATCAGTAGTTGCTTTTTTTTTTTTTTTTTCTTTGGATGGCTGTGTAAAACTTTACTCCTTTCTCATGAGTCACTCCAGGACCGCATAAAAGATAATACTTGTCATGACGAAGAACCAAATATGTCATCAGTGTGTAAAAGAAAAGAAACAGCAAACAATCATTTTTTTCTTTCTCAGACCACTAATATAGACTGACGACAAAAAAAAAAAATCAAAAAACAAGGAAACCCATTCCTCTCTAATAAAGAGCACATACGTTTCTCCTCTTCTTTATTAAATTAGTTAATCATGCTCTATAACAATCGATCAGTTTCATCGTACTACCTTAATCTGTCCTTCGCTTCTAAAGCGCTTCACTCTGAAAGAGAAAGAGAATGAAAAAAAAAAAGAGAAAAGGGGGTAGCTGAATGCTTTATCCATTATATAGGGTAAATATTCTTAACACTACCTCTACAGTCCTCTTGAGATGGTATCCCTTATTTCTTGTTCACATCCTCATTTTGTCATCATTCAACTATCTGGAGTAACAAAGTTATATGGATTCCCAAGAATCATTATTTTTTTTTTTTTCTTTCTTGCCTGTCCCTCTCTCTTTTTGTAAAAGAGAAAACGTAGAGCACCACAGTTCTTGCAAATTACATGGTGCACAGCGCATATAGGAAAAAGCAAGGTATACAAGAAAAATAAAGAATGAAATACCGAAGAGGTATCCTCGAACCAAGAAAAAAAAAAAAAAAAACATCAATACAAAGGAAGTAAAAAAATTCTTCAAGAATTTAGCCCCCTTTTTTTTTAACCACTAGAACACTCTCTTTTTTTTTTTTTTCTTTTACTACAGAGTACCTAACTTGTCCAGCATAGCGTTTACTTCCTTCGTGACATCCGCCTGAGAACGTCTCATAGATTCAGATTTTTTTGCATCATTCTTGATAAGACGAGTCATCTGCTGAACAGCAAGTTTGACATTTGCAACAGCTGTTTCTTCCGTACAACCCTTAAAAAAGGGATGTTTCAGCAGATCTGCAGTTGACGGTCGTTGTTGTGGATCCCTAACCAAACACTTTCTGACAAAATCACGGGCCTCATCAGAATATGCTGGTTTTTCTGGTAATGTTGGCGTTGTATCCCCTGATATTCTTCCCAAGAGCTGAAATAAATTCATTTCCTCCGGTGGTGCCCATGGATTTTTACCAGTTACTGTGGCTATCATTGTTAAGCCAAGGGACCAAACATCACTACTAAAGCTATATGCGCCTTGTTCCAAACGTTCTGGTGCCATGAAATACATTGTCCCGACATAAGTTGAGGATACGTCAAGAGTTTGAACAAGTTTCGATACTCCAAAGTCACCGATCTTAACATATCCATCATCTCGAATAAGCAAATTGCTTGGTTTTATATCCCTATGAATCACACGTTTTTTGTCATGAAGATAAACTAGCCCAGAGACCACTTGAAAAAATATATCACGTAGTATAGTCTCTTCTATACCTTCCCAAAAGTAAGCCAGATCTTTTAAAGTATATGCCATCCATTCCATTGGTATCACGATGGCGGCTTCCTCAGAATCCCAGAAAGCACCTAGATTTTTCATGACAAAAGGTGAATTTGATTGAGAGCTGAAGAAAGAGAGTTCCCGATCTACTTCATCGCGATGTGGCTTAGATGTTATAGGTATGTGCTTTAGAGCCACAGGGGTCCCATCTTTAAGTTTGGCAAAATAAACGGTACCACTGGCTCCACGACCTATTGGTCTTTTAGAAACATCATCAATATCCTCCTTCGTTACACTTCCAGGTAACTTTCTCCCATCTTTGGTAAACATACCTGATTCATTGAACAAGAAAGCTCGCAGTTGAAGGGAGTTGTTGTTTTTTATCTGGTAAGACTGCATGTCTCGCTGGGATTTCTCCACAGCAGATGCGTCTAAAACAAGCCCCATCTTCTTCATTCTGAAGAATTGAGGCACTTGGTTACCTAAGAATAGTAAATATATATATGTATATATATACCAATCTCAAACAAAAAGAGTAAGAAAGCAAAAAAGAATATAATCTATACATGTAAAAACAAACCAGGTCTTCATTTTAACATTTTTTTTCTTCGGGTTCTTGGCTTTTTGCTGAAAAGGAAAACAGAAGAAAGAATATATTCACCAAATGAGGAGTAGCATTAAAAAAAGAAAAAAAGGTACCTTCCTATCTTTTGATATATTGCTTCCTCCTCATCCTTACCTGTCACTCTTTTCCGTGATATAAGCATCTAGAACATATCTACTACTCTTTGGGTCCCACTAAAGATGTACTGTCGTTACTGGTGTTGTTTTCTGGAATCATAAGAGGTATTCCATTAGGTGTGTGGTTGCATACATGCACTGCTTCACTAACATTTGTATCAACTTCTGATGATAAACCAGGCTCCGGTACATTGGGTCTTTCTTTATGTGAAACCCAGTGGGCTTGCTTTGAGTGGTTACAAGTAGCACAGAGAGGTTTTCCCCATTGAGGTTTAAAACTATCACATACGGTGTTTATCTGATGTCGCTTGGAAGATGTTCTTACTCTTTCTGCTTCTTGGCGAAAACGAGATGGTACAGCCCTAGGATCCACATACATACGACGTTGTGAAGGGTTTCTATCTGAATTTGAAATTGAGACATCGCGCTTGGGAGTTGTTGCACGACTGGTTATACTCCTTTCTCTCTGATAGGTGGGTGTTTCTGCTTTTCTACCTCTAGGAGTACCCCCTCCTACGCCTCGTAAAGAAGCTGCTCCTCTACTTCCACTCCTAGCCACTGGCGGTTTTCCCTGTTCACCAGTGAGAGAATCTACTCTCTTTAGTTGTTCTGTATTTTCTTTAGTATTCCTTACAATTTTCGTTCTTGGTGATGGAGGGGGATGTCCCCTCTGTCGAGTTACAGAAGAATTACTCTTTAACTCATTCTCATGTACTCCAGTAGAAGTAGTAGTAGTAGTACCTCTTACCTTTGATACTGTATTTCCAACGACCACACCTGGTCTTGGTTTAATAACGAGAGTACCCTCATTAACTCCTTCAAATACAGTTGAAATAAGTAATCTGTTAGAAAGCACTTTATCATTAAATTCAGCTTGAATCTCTGATGGCTTAAGATGTTGAACACGAAGTAATTCAGGAACTTTTAAAAGTACGTCAGAAACATCTGCGGATTCATCAACAATAAGCTTTATAGCTTCATCATCAGTTTGGTGAGGTTCGCGCAACCATACCTTAATCATTGTCATCGTTTTTCTATATATGTTCTAACCTTTCTCTACCTTTCCAAATTTCTTTATGAAATGGTTAAACGCAAAAAAAAAAAAAAAACAGTAGAAAAGTAAATAAATAATAATAAAATAAACAAAACACATTCTACTAAAAAAGGATGTTATTAACAACATGTACATCTGTTACAACTTCACACGTTTGTAAATTAAAGCACAATAAAGAATAAAAATAGTTGTCTGAGATTTATACTACTTGAATATATCGTCTATATCAATAGACTCCCTTGCACCTCGATTTACAGTATCCTCCTGAACGATCAGTGAAGGTGAAGGATTATTATTTGGTTGAGCAGTATTACTGGATTGTGAAGTAAACATATCTACAAGCTCATAATCTGATGGTACATTTTCGCTTACCTTCTCCTTTACTGATACCTTCTGAGTAGCAGCATTAGCTGCTGCTCGCTTTTCAGAGTTTATTCGTTGAGAGACTTTTCGGTTATTTTTAATATTGGCTAAAATACCAGCCACTTTTTCACATTCACCAAATAGATCTTTGAAGAACATACTTAGTTGAAGAAAAAATACATTACTTGCTGACCATGTTGCCATAGATGCCTGTTCCAAGACAAAAGATGTCTTTTCCATACCAGACTGTAAAGCAGCATGGTACTGCTCACTACCACCTTGAAGGGTTTCTAATGAGCGACGATGTTTATACTCTGCCATTCTGGCACGATCAGGGTTAAGATCTTGAATTTTTGCCAACTCTGATTCAGAAACTTCTACTTGCCTCCTTTGCACATCAAATATTGTTTGTGCTCTGGAAACTTCACACTTCACTTCTGAATAGATCGAATCAATTTGTTCAAGAGAGGAAGAATGAATCCCACAAGAATTCGTTTTAATATTAGATGCCAAATCATGTCCTAGTACACGTATTTTAGTACTGGAAGATCGAATATTACTTAACTCAGAGAAATCAGCAGGTTCTACATTTGTTCCCTCCAAGTGTTTTTCACAGACTTCTGTAAACCGTTGAAGTCCTGCAAATAGTTCATCAAGTTGAGTAGTAAGAGTTGTTATGGTATTACCAACTGCGTCAAACTGATCAGATAGTTTCATAATAGCAGAGCGAGTCCGTGAAACAACCTTCATACGAGAATTGTATATTTCATCATTACTCTTCCTAAACTCACCAAATGCAGATAAAATAGATAGTTTACCTTGTTCCATAAGAAGGCGTAACCCATCAGGACCACGGTATTGGTGAAGAGATACTCCCACATCCCGTATTACTGATTCCACACCACGAGCATTCTCGCGTAGCGCATGCATATTATTAGATTGTTTTCCAGAATCTAAAGAAGACAAAAAAAAAAAAAAAAAAAAAAAAAAAAAAAAAAAAAACAGAGAGAAAGAAGAAAAAGAAGAAGAAGCAAACAAACATCTAATCCTAGGAAGCACCCTCACTCTTTATCCAGAAATCCAGGAACATGCACACAAACACAAACACACACACACACACACACACACAGACACATAGATACACAAAGTAAAGGACAACCGAACGTCCACTATAATCTTGATTGATGTGATTGTCCTCTTATTATTCCCCCTTTTTTTTATCCTCTGTTTTCTTCTTTTATGTTATCTTAGTCTCATTAATCTTACTTAATCTTGAGAAGATTCGAGTGCCAAAAATGGATCTTGAAATAGATTGTCAAATGCAGCCAAGACATCAGCAACAAGTTCCTTATCATCGCACTCTGGTGTAAAAAACCTAAAAAGAGAATCTTGAGATGCCCTTTCTGTTCCAGACTTCCACTTAATAGGCTCTAACGAAATAGTATTGAGATCGGCATCAATTTCACGGTGAATCGTTCCTTGTTCAGCAAACATGTTTGACCTCAAATCGATCGAGACACATCGACAAAGGGAGTCATTTTTAACACTTGACTTAACATTAAACCCTCTTACTGCTCGCAAAAGTTTTGGATCTATCGTACCATTAAAGAACTGCCTTAATGGAGTTTCTGCGGAAGACAAAACGCTGCTCCAAAATCCTTCTACTTTGTCAAGAACTTCCTGTCGTTGCTCAAGTAATGTTTCAATCCTTGTTCTATAGTCGATGCGTACCTTGTTACAGGAGGACTCTGTCTCCTTTTGTACTTCTGCGACTTTGTTGTTACATTCCGTAACAGCTTGGAGAACATCTTGAGGGATAGAATCCATTTTAGCTTCACGTTCTCCAAAACGACAAAAAAGAAAAAGAAAGACACAGGTAAGAAGGAAAATAGTAGACGTTAAGAAGAGTTTTTTTTTTTTTTTTTTTTTTTTCAAAGATAATATTACCAACTCGAAGAAAAAAAAAAAGGGGGGGAAAAAAAAACCAGGTAAATCAAAAATCCCTTACCATCAGTTTGTTTTTTTGAAAACAACTACCACTCCAAAAATAACAATATCAAGATCAATAAATCAAAAGTAAGTCAGACTAAAACCTTTTGGCCATTTCAACACCAAACATACAAGCAAACCGTATTCCATTGTATAATAAAGGATAAGCAGGAGCCTCTGCAGCTCCATTTGTTTCTCCCAGGTGTTGATGATGCTCTTCTTCATTTCTGAATTTCACAATAACATCCTTAACATTTTTCCACGCCTCAGTATCCTCACCTTTTATCTCCCCTTCTTCTCTTTCAAGTGATTCAAGTTCTCTAAGTTGATCATTATAATGATTAGCTATGGTAATTTCAACTGCAGCATGACAACACATCATAGCCTCTTTACCAAGAAAAGCGGTAAGGGTTCCCATAGCAAAAGCCCCTGCATTAAAGAATGGATCTAGGGATGTAAGTCTTACAGAATGTTGTGATGCTAGTTTGTTCATAGTCTCTTCATGAACCACTTCATCTTTTAATATTTCTTTCACAATTGGAACAGAAGGATCCAATGGTGACATCCAGAATAGCTGATGCTTGCATATGCGAACTGCAGCCACCTCACCAGCCTGGTCAACTCGAATTGTTTCATCAATTTTTCTTTGTTTGGCCAAACTCAAAAAAGTTCGACCAGGACCCTGCTGAAGCCCTCCAAAAGTGCGACGCATTTTCCTATCCCAATTTTCCCTCAAAAGAAAAGAGGGAGAAAAAAAAAAAAAAAGAAAGGGAGTATCAAAAACAAGGAAAAACACACCCCTCTATACAAATGACGAAAAAAAAAAACACTGGCGGGGCCGGTTTCCCCCCTGATCGCCCCTTCCTTTCCCCAGCGCGGCGTCCTCCTCCTCCCCCTCCTCCTCCCACCCCGCCCGTGGGGACGGCCCGGGGCCGGTCCCGGGGAAAGCTCTCCCGAGGATGCCCTGTTACCGTTGCCGTCCGCCAATTCCTCGGCGTGAAAGGAAAAGGAAAGTAGGGTGGGGAGGGGGGAAGTGGGTGACCGCGAGGGGCGCCGGGTTTACTTCGCGAGGCGGCAGTCCCGGGGAATGTTTTGCTTGCTTTGTTTGTTGCCCTCTGGTGGGGTCCGGGACCTGTGGAATGCCAATGTGATTTTTTTTTTTTTTTTTGTTTATCTCTGTGTGGGCTTCAATGTTCCTATTTTTGATGCTGGGTGTTGCGACAAATTACGTTTGATTTACTTTATTTTCTTCGTGTGTGGAAATGGATTGGGGATTTCTCATAAAAAAAAAAAAAAAAAAACGGTATTTATCTTTGCTGGATATATTGGAGTTTTCTTACTTGAAATTTGTTTCTCATCCTTTTTCTTATATTTTATAGGGACTTCTGAAAAGAATATTTGCCTGTAAATACTGGATCTATTGTGAATGTTTTGTGAACACGGTAATTACTTGCTTCTGTGTGTGTGTGTTTTTTTTTTTCATTTTGGATTTTTTTTTTTGTTTTTACGCATGAAAAGAAAAAATAACTGTACATACTTCTGGAGGAAGTTTGGGTTTGGTTTTTTTTTTTTCTTATTTAATTACCATCCCAACCCATACGTTTTGGACACACCATACAGAGATTTTTTTTTTGAAAAGTAAGAAAGTTTGAAATCTTTAACTTTCGTGGCTTTATGTAACTTGGGTCATTTCTTTAACAGCTTCTGGTATGGGGATAATTATTATTTAGAATGAGTAGAGATGTTACTCAAGTGATGAAGTGACTATGTACTACATACGGGTTAAGTTCTCCATATTCTTCTTTTTTTTATTGTTGTGAGAACTTTTTGAAAAAGTGAGGAACAATATTCTCCTTTTATTCTTTGTTACCACAATTCAGAGCCTGCAAGTATCAACAAGTGGGATTTCTAATGGTAATGAGAAACTGTGGTATCTCTGTTAGTATATTTGAGTTAACCATCTTAAAAAGAAGGAATAAATTACATCGTTTCTATTAGACTGTCTCCTGCAATAATATGTTTTACTTCAGTGGCTGGCACCTGTATTTTTTTTTTCCCCCTATGTTCTTAAAAGATATCTAATGGATTTTCTCTTTTTGGGATTGTATCGTATATTTTTTTTTCCCTCGTTATGGAGTTTTATTTTTCTGGATTCTTAAATGCTCTGTGGACGGATGTGAGGAATTTTTCTTCTTTTCTTCTTGATCTGGAGTTTTTTTTGAACTTTCTAGTCATCTCTATTCTTGGGGGTTTGTTATCTATTCTGTATTCCCGTATGTTATAGTTTTTTCTTTATTCTGCTTACCTCAAAAATATTTTCTTTCCAATATGAGTATTGCGAAGGTGATATTCCTGTTTAATTGAAGAGAGAATAGATTCAATCATACAAAGGGTATTTGTAATTTTATTTGGCTTTCCTTACCTATTTAGAATATGTGTTTTCTTTTGTAGGTGTTTTGGTGATGTTTTAAACAAGGAAGCTTAATATTGTTTTTGGATTCCTGAAGCGGAAGAAAAGAAAGAGAACAGTAGTAAAGAAATAAAATGCAACTGTGATGTATGATAAGGAATAGAATAAAGTCTTGTTGTGATTCTATTTTCTTTCGACAGAGAATGGATATCTAAAAATACTTATCCTTTATTTCGTTAAGGTTGAATTATTCTGTATACCTTTATTTTCTTTGATAGCCTGCAAAAAAGAATGATTGAGTCTTTTGTTAATAGGAATCAAATTGTGCATGAGATATAATGTTGGTAATATTTTTTTTTTATTTTTATTCTGACAGTCTCTTAAGCGTAAGTTGCTGACAACTCACCCAACCCCAACCTTCACTGCCCTGAGCGGGGGAGACGGAAAAAAAGGGCTTCTCAGCTCTTTCATTTCGTCAATTCTGTTTTTTTATTTGGGGGAACAACCATTGGGGTAATACATTGGGATATAATTATATATATATATATTCCGGGGATGGATGAGTCAACACGATAAAGGAGAAAATATTGTTGCTCTTTTTTCTTCTTTTTATCTTTATTGGGGAGAAAGCAAGGCCTAGATTATTTTTTCTTGAAACATTATCCTTACTCTTTTTTCTTTAATTATTATTACCCTTTCACAGCATTGGTTTTTTTTTTCTTTTTTTTACGTATTATCCACTCTTTTTGATTTTCTTTTTTTTCTTTGCTAGGGATTTTAGTATTAAGTTATTCTATATTTTATTGAATATGTCTTCTACAGGATTACCAATTTCTGGAGACCTTGCAAGGGAGTTTGTCGAATTTGTTAATAGAGCATGTACTCCATTTCACGCTGTTGAAGTTCTCTCGTCATGGTTACTTGCTTCAGGATACAATAGGCTTCTTGAAGGACAAGAATGGCCTAACTTTTCAAGGGGAGGTAAATATTTTGTCACGAGAAATGATAGCAGTTTGGTTGCTTTTTCAGTTGGACATAAATTTGATCCTGTAAATGGTGTAAAAATAGTGGGAGCCCATACAGATTCTCCAAATTTCTCATTAAAACCACGAACAAAGGTCGATAAAGGGGAATATCAGGGGGTTGGTGTTCAATGTTATGGTGGAGGTTTATGGCATACATGGTTTGATCGAGATTTAACTATTGCAGGCAGGGTTTTTTTTTCTTCATCTAACCTGGAAAAACGTTTGGTTAATTTGGAAAAACCAATTATGCGTATACCATCTCTTGCCATTCATCTTCAATCGGCATCTGAACGTGAGGCTTTTGCTCCAAATAAAGAAAAACATCTTGTCCCGATAATTGCCACTCAACTTTCAGCGTCACAAAAAGGAGATAATGACAAGAATAATTGTACTCATCTTTTAAAATTATTGTCTGAAAAAGTTGGTTGTGCACCAGAAGATATTGTGGACTATGATCTCAGTGTAATTGATACCCAAGAAGCAACGATTGGTGGAATTTCTGATGAATTTATATTTGCACCACGGTTGGATAATCTTATTTCATGTTTTTGTGGTATTAAAGCTCTTTTAAAATCTGATGAATCCCTAGAATCAGAGGATATGATAAGAATGGTTTGCCTTTTTGACAATGAAGAAGTGGGGTCTTCAACTTCTCAAGGTGCAGGTGGAACTCTTGTTCCTGATCTTATCGAACATATTATGAATTCAAAGGCTCTTCGTTCAACAATTGTGGCAAATTCTTTTTTGCTTTCTGTCGATGGTGCTCATGCACTTCATCCTAATTATAAGGACAAACACGAAGATAATCATCGTCCACTTCTTCATCATGGTCCTGTCATTAAATACAATGCAAATATGCGTTATGCCACAAATGGCGCAACTGCTGCAGTGATTAAGTCAATCGCAAAAAAGGCTGCAGTACCACTACAAGAGTTCTGTGTTAAAAATGATTCACCATGTGGTTCGACAATTGGTCCAATTCTTTCATCTTTATCTGGCATCCAAACTGTAGATATTGGGAATCCAATGTTAAGTATGCATAGCGTGCGAGAGATGTGTGGAACTGCAGATATATTTCATTTGACTAACCTTATTGAGGCCTTCTTTAAGGAGTATAAACGAGGTATGATACCATCTTGATTTTTTTTTTTTTTTTTCCTTTGATCGTTTTGTTTTGTTTTCTTTTTCTTTTTTTTTTTAGGGATATCTGAGAGAATTTTACTCCTTCTGTTACTTTGTCTTGTGCCTATTTTTGTATAAGATATTTCTTTTAAATTATTTGTTTTACTTAAATATATTTAACTATTTTTTCTATTTTTTCTTTTTATTTATTTTATTATTTTTAGCGTATCACCTAGAAATCATGGGTCGCTTTAAGCCTCTTGCAGTCAAGAAGAAGTACGCAAAGAAGCTGAACCAAAACAAGCCTGTGCCATATTGGATTCGTCTACGCACTGGCAACCGCATCAAGTGGAACGAGAAGCGCCGTCACTGGCGCCGCACCAAGCTTAACTATTGAGGTGGTGACACGGTTTCAGGCTCACGTCTATTTTTCTTTATTTAAAATGAGTTTTTACTTTTTTTAAGAACTTCATTTCTTTTGAATATCATTGCCTTCACATTTAGTGTGTTAATAATATACGTTTTGGAAAATAAATTTGTTTGCTAATCCATACAAGTTTTTTTTTTCTGTTATGTTTTTTTATTATTTCCTTTTTTCTTTCTCACTCTCTCTCTCTCAATATTTTTCTTTACTCTAGGGAGTATAGTGATAAAAAAAGAATGACAGAAGCAAATGCTGTTAGCCCTGGACCTGGTGCTCGTGTTCAAGTGAGTGTTCGTATTTGTCCTCCTCGAGAAAGTGAAAAGGTGGTTTTACGGAGTGTTCCTGATGACAAAAAAGCTGTTATGGTTGACCATGGGGGGAGTAAGACTGTGGATGTATTTAAATTTGATCGTGTATTTACCGGACCTCAGGATGAGTTGTACGATGAGATTGGAAGACCGATGTTGAAGGAAGCTTTTGGCGGATTTAACGTCTGTTTATTTGCGTATGGTCAAACAGGAAGTGGGAAGACGCACAGTCTTTTTGGGGACTTGAACAGCAAAGAGAATTGTGGTATAGCTCCACGTTTTGTACAAGAGATGATTGAAGAGGCACAGCGACGTGTAGAAACCGATAGTGGGGCAACAATTAAGTTCTTCGTAACTATGGTCGAAGTGTACATGGAAAAGGTACGTGATCTCTTAGCACCGCGAGTGCGGGGACAGGAGCCAGAGTCCCTTGAGATTCATGAGGATAACCAACGTCGCGTTTATGTTAAGGGAGCTGGTGTCCACCCTGTACTAACTTTAGAACGCATGCTTGAACTACTAAAAATAGGTAATGCAAACCGTCAGACAGGGGAAACAAAGATGAACGAGACTAGTTCGCGATCACATGCCGTTATTCAAATTACCATTTCGCAGAAGTACGAGTCTTTGGAGATGAGAGATGTGGAAAGTGTGGTTTTGTTAGTTGACCTTGCTGGTAGTGAGCGTCAGAGCAAGACTGAATCCACAGGAATTGCATTTGAAGAGGCCAAAAAGATCAATCAATCTTTGCTAATGCTTGGTCGGGCACTAAATTCATTCAGTGATAGGAAAGGAGGTGATGCCTTTATATCGTTACGTGCCTCGAAGTTAACACGAATACTTTCAGAGAGTTTTGGTGGTAACAGTAAGACTTGGATGCTTGCCACTGTATCTCCTACAGCATATAATTTGACGGAAACTATCTCCACATTGGAATACGCTCAAAATGCTATGGCTATCACCAATAAGGCTAAGGTAAATAAATTGGCAAGAAATTTGGAATTTGATGAACTTCAAAAAGCTTCGTGGCTTTTACAAGTTCGACTGGATGATGAAACGAGGAGTATTGCTGAATTGGATGCTCAGAGAAATGCGTTGCTTGAAGAAATAGAATCAATGAAAAATGTGTTAACAGTTTCTAGTAGTTCTAAAATTGAAGAGGAAGTAAAAAATGCCCTGGAAGAGAGAGAAAATTTATTGCGTATGCTTAGGAAAGCATTGGAGGCGCAAAATAGAAAGTCTGGATCACCAGCTCCGCTTGTATGTTTTTCTGGTACCTGCAAAACCTCCTTGGCGAATATACCATTTGGATCCTATGAAGTGACAACTCTACCTGTACCATGTTATAATTTGGCAGGACCTCCTCCTCTTCTGGTTTGTCGTATTCATCTGTATTTAACAGCAGAAAAAAATGTGGCAGTACTTGTTCGTCTTCAAGAGTTACAGCACCTCCCAGATTATGTTACAGGGGGTGTTCAAGTTACTATGTGGTTTGACGGGAATGCCTCTAGTTCTGTACAAACACCCATTGTAAAACCGAAGAGTGGAAACCCACAGTTTTCACTTAAACAGACATATCTCTTTGGGCCATTAACAGATGATCTTCAACAATTTTTTCAGTTGGATGTATTGTACTTTCGCGTTGAAGGAATAATATCAGAGAGCGCTTATATCTATCCGCCGAGGAACGAGTCGTCAGTGGTAGAAGTATTTTCGTAGTCTTAATTCTCTTTTACATCTGTGGTACCTTCTTTTCTGAGTTAATAACATATTTTTTGTTTCCTGTGTGCATCGTATCTGTGATATAATGGAATGTCAAAACTAAAAATCGCCCGACTCCAACTTAACCGAAAAGACAAAAAAAAAAAAAATAAGAAATAAACGTGCCACGAATATCGATAATTTCTCTTTTTTTCTTTCTTCCTCTATTCCTCTTTACTCTAGGGAGTATAGTGATAAAAAAAGAATGACAGAAGCAAATGCTGTTAGCCCTGGACCTGGTGCTCGTGTTCAAGTGAGTGTTCGTATTTGTCCTCCTCGAGAAAGTGAAAAGGTGGTTTTACGGAGTGTTCCTGATGACAAAAAAGCTGTTATGGTTGACCATGGGGGGAGTAAGACTGTGGATGTATTTAAATTTGATCGTGTATTTACCGGACCTCAGGATGAGTTGTACGATGAGATTGGAAGACCGATGTTGAAGGAAGCTTTTGGCGGATTTAACGTCTGTTTATTTGCGTATGGTCAAACAGGAAGTGGGAAGACGCACAGTCTTTTTGGGGACTTGAACAGCAAAGAGAATTGTGGTATAGCTCCACGTTTTGTACAAGAGATGATTGAAGAGGCACAGCGACGTGTAGAAACCGATAGTGGGGCAACAATTAAGTTCTTCGTAACTATGGTCGAAGTGTACATGGAAAAGGTACGTGATCTCTTAGCACCGCGAGTGCGGGGACAGGAGCCAGAGTCCCTTGAGATTCATGAGGATAACCAACGTCGCGTTTATGTTAAGGGAGCTGGTGTCCACCCTGTACTAACTTTAGAACGCATGCTTGAACTACTAAAAATAGGTAATGCAAACCGTCAGACAGGGGAAACAAAGATGAACGAGACTAGTTCGCGATCACATGCCGTTATTCAAATTACCATTTCGCAGAAGTACGAGTCTTTGGAGATGAGAGATGTGGAAAGTGTGGTTTTGTTAGTTGACCTTGCTGGTAGTGAGCGTCAGAGCAAGACTGAATCCACAGGAATTGCATTTGAAGAGGCCAAAAAGATCAATCAATCTTTGCTAATGCTTGGTCGGGCACTAAATTCATTCAGTGATAGGAAAGGAGGTGATGCCTTTATATCGTTACGTGCCTCGAAGTTAACACGAATACTTTCAGAGAGTTTTGGTGGTAACAGTAAGACTTGGATGCTTGCCACTGTATCTCCTACAGCATATAATTTGACGGAAACTATCTCCACATTGGAATACGCTCAAAATGCTATGGCTATCACCAATAAGGCTAAGGTGAACGATACAAAGAAGAATGTTGAGCTAAAGCAACTCAAGGAGCTTGTAGCCTTGTTGGAAGCTAAACTGGAAACAGTAGCACTAGAGAAGCAGGAAAAACAAGAGGAATTGAGTAAACTTACATGGGAACGTGATACACTCCGGCAGACAGTTGCTACGACTGAAACTAATAATACCACGAAAAGTAAAATGGAGGATGCATTAAATAGTATAAGACTTAGTAATATTGCATTGCGTAGGAGAGTAGAAGCTGCCTCTGATGGTCTAGTCTCTTCACTGGACAACAAGTCTTCTTATAAGTTTTTTAAAGGGAAATGTGGTATATCGTTGGAAAGTGTTTTTCTGGGTAGACGTAGTTCTTTTTCTATTGGATTACTTACAGATAGCGGAGTGCTGACTGAAGCTACACTTCACATTCAATTGTTTCCATGTGGGTCACATACTGGGTTACGAAGTGATCCTATGCATTTGGTTGGTGAAAATCTGCGTTTCTGTTTACATGTTGTGGGGGCTACGGGTATACCGAAGGCCTTCGGGGCTCATTCATTCTGTAAATATACACTTCTTTGTGACCGAGAAGGACGCTACTTCACTACTCCTACAGTAGCAAATTCTTCAAATCCTAATTGGAGTTTTGCAAAGCTTTTTGAGTTTCCTAAGCTAACACCAGAGGTTATAAAATTCTTTTTTGAAAAACCCTCGTTTACCTTTGAGGTGTTCGGTTTCAGCGCATGAAGTTAGTACTGTGGCAATCTTTTTTTTTAGAACCCTTATTGTGTATTTTTTTTTTTTCTTTTACTTATTACTGGATATGGATATGCCTTTTTAAAGGTTATTGAATCTATCGAGAAGGTATGATTTTCTGTTGTTTTTTTTTTTTCATGGTTTTGTTTTCTTTGTACATGTATTCCTCCTTTTAAAAAAAATAATAAAGTTTTCTCTTTTTACTGGATAAGGATTATAGAGAGACAGAGAGGTAGACAAAGGATCTCTTCAGTGGTATTCATGTCTTGTTTTTTCTTTTAAAGAAAGAAAGAAAGAAAAACATGATCAGTGGAACAGATTCCGCTATCCTCGATTCCATCCTGTAATGATATTCGCAGTGAATAGGACAGATGGAAATAATAATGACTGCGATATTATCAATGCAAGTATTCAAACTGACAGTGCATGTTGGCGTAGCGTCAAAAGGGGGAGGGAGTTAACTGATGAAATAATTACGCAGAATTTTTATCCGCGTTTATTCTGCTTTCTTCCAGTAAATTTATCGAATATTCTGCCTCATTTGTACCAGTGTATGAAAGCAGAAGAGGTTTTATTTCTCACTGAGGCGATAAGAAGAAATTCAACTATAGTCTTGTTGTTATTTCCTGTGTTGCTTCTGTTGGATGTGTCGCTGCTAATGAGAACCAAAATCACTAAGAAAGAATTGTGTCCTTCTTGTGTATCACTCAGAGTATATTATACCTGACATGAGCGACACTACCAGAGGACTGGAGAGGAGCACTGCATGCGGGGCACTAGTCGTGAAGTTCCCCTCTTTTTTCTTTTTGTTAAGCTCAGGAGTGGGAAGAGTGAGGTAATAATATCGGATTTTTTTCTTACTGTATAGTTAGTGTTATTTGTATTATTTCTTTTAAATCATATTGTTATTGTTTTTTTTTTTTGTTTATTCTTTCTTTTTTTTTCCGTGAAAGGTGTGTCGCATTTTTGTTCTTTGGTAGGCTATTTCACAATAGCTTTTTACTACTACTACGACTACGACTACTAAATACTAGTTACTAGTTACTAGTATAATTTCTAGTACTATTATCACGAAACACATTAGAAGACGTTCACTGTATTAAGGTGGTGGGGGTGGTGGTGGAAGGGAGGATGCATGGACGGCATTTGGATTATAGCTCTACATTCCATTCACGATATGCCCCACCGAAGAAACGCACTTTCTCTGCACGTTCATCACATCCATGTTATGTAGCTGAACGTCCCGCAGCTGCTAATATCTCATCCCTGGCTGTTCGCGGTACAAACAGAAGATATCAAGGAAAGGAGTTTTTCTCTCAAACAAGTAATCTGGTAGTTGAGAGGCCAGTGCATTTTGGTAGTACAGTGAGTTTACCTCTGAGCTCGGAAAATGGAAAATTCTCATCCACTTATCGTTCACGTGATGAATATCATGTGAACCCGAGGTATCGTATGGACTGGCGTTTTTCTAAAGAACAAAATTTTTCACCACGTCCTCCCCCTGTTAAAACCTTTGCACGAAGTAACTTCACAGATTCTGATAATTTCTTCATTCCACCACCTTCTGTACATGATGAGGGAAAACTTGTAGTTGTTCTTGATCTTGATGAAACCCTTGTATATTCACGTGGTGGACCAATCATTCCTAGACCTGGTACACATCGTCTTTTTGAAGCTTTGCGTGGACGTTGTGAAGTAGTGGTATGGACAGCAGGAGAAGAACATTACGCAAGAGAGGTTATACAAAGAATTGACCGTAGACGCTGTATTCAACACTGTATATTTCGTCACGAAAAATGGTGGTCAGAAAGACCAGGCTATTTAAAGGATATTAGCGCATTGGGAAGACCTCTTAATCGTACCATAATTATTGATAATACACCTGATTGCTTAAGGGCTTATCCTCAAAATGGATTGCTCGTTACCGACTTTCGTGGAGAACTTTGGAATCGTTCAGGGGCTGATACCACTCTTTTTGTTCTTGCAGATATAATTGAAGATGTATTGCGTGGTCCTTTGGTTTCTGTTGAGGCATTTCATAGTCACCCATATATACAACTACGCTCAATCCCGTGTGATACCGGTGGCTCTATTGAGGTGTTGACACTTAAGCAAGATCAATTTGCCAACGCAAGACCTCCCCGATCGCGGTTTGTTGCGGCGTATCAATTACTAAAGGCGTCTCGCCAATAATAAACTATATTTCTCTATCTCTTCTTCTTCTATTCGTGTTTGTGTGCTTGTCTGCGTGTGGAAGGACAGAGTAGTCTCTTTTGTGCTGTGTTATAAAGGATTTTTTTTTTTTTTTTCTATTGTATGTATATCCTTTTGTATGCGTCTGTGTGTGTGTGATTTTTTTTTTTTTTTTTTTTTTT